TTTAAATGCATATTTTAAATGTTTACATATTTTAGCTTACATATTTATCTGATTATATATTATTAGCCTCTGGCTATTAAGTGCTACCCTCTTTAAATAAAGGCTTTCATTCATTTCATTCATTTATCAAACGTTATTGATACAGCATACTTCTAGCAGCAGCAAATAACACATATCTAACGTCGCTGAATCAGACAGAAGTAACAGACTGCTTTCACATAACTTGAAGTACTATACTGTATCTACTGAGCGACTATGGCGTTTGAAGCTGACCGAAACCTTTCGACAAGCATTTATTACTTCAACTAAGAGTGGGATAGGGCGCATAAAGAATGCTAAGGAGATCTAAATTTTCCGGGTTCTCCCACAATATGAGATGTTAAAGAACGGAACAACAAATTTCTAATGATACATTCTAAAACAGGACATATATATCTATACCTCTATTCTCTTTAGCTTTTGTAGCAAAAAGCTTATTAAGATCCAACGAAGACGATCTTGAATGACCTTTCTTGTTCCTAGGGGGTGGAGGAGGGGGGTCTTTCTTTCCTTCTGAAGACACAGAACTCGGACCCTCTTCTTCGACTGGTGTTGTCACCAAACTAGAATCACTTTTAGTATTAAGTTTTACATCTCCTGTTGACCTCGGCCTCTCACCACTTCTCCTATTCACTCGATACACTACTTCTTCCTTTCCGGCTTCTTCCTTGGGTTGTTCATCTTCCTGCTCCTCCTGTGCCAGAGATGGAGGTGAAGGTGTTCTCATTCCCTCGGGGGAAAGTGGTGAGGTAGGAGTATCCTCCTCAGGTGAGGAGGGAGGTGATTCGGAAGGTTCAGGGGAGCCTGAGTCTTTTTGACGCGGTGATGCCTGCTAAATAAATTTATTAGTGGGTGTCCAGCCATCACGAGCTTGTTTTCCAGATGGAGGCGGGAGCAGCTGCCCTGGAAGAGCATCGAGAAGACTGGGTTTCACTGCTGCTCTTGGTCGCGCTATCTCTATCTCTGCCGTAACTTGGGTGGGGCTCATAGGTCCACTGTGTGGCACTTCACCTTGCTGAGAAGGCGTACTTGGCATGTTAATATGAAGAGGGTTCACAGGATTACCAAGGTTGGTATTCCTGCTGGATTGGCCATCTGTTATGGCATCTTCTACAGAAGCTGGATCTGACAGTGACCTGGGCTTTGCAACATTGTCCTCATTTCCCTGGAGGTCACCTTGTGATGGTGTGGCTTGAACAACTGACAACTACATAAAATTATCAAAAAAACCAACATAAAACCACAGTCCTTTGTGCACTTTCTAGTAAAAGGCAAACTTAGAGGCTATGAGATCAATTTAAATCTAAGGAAATAAACTGCATTTAAGAACATTTTTCAGTTTTCACAATGTAAAAGTTTACTTACCGCTTTCTTTCTCATAGGAAAGTTGTTAAAATTAGTGCGCTGTGCAGTGCTTTCAGAAGAACCACTGAAACGTAACCAGTGCTGTGCAGACAGATAGTGCAAAATAGTGGGTACAGTGCTTACTAACAAAATCATCATTAATCACTATGCAGTGCAACTGTTATTTCAAACAGGGATATTTCCTTACAGAAATTTTCAATTGAGTGTTAAATCAACTGGAAAGGCATTGAATTTAATTCACCATGTCCAGCCACTCAGTTCTGCAAAAATTTTGCCATCCTCTCATGTAATTAGCTGAAAAAACTAAAGCAAATCAGGCCTTGGTTTTCCGACAGCGTGTTATGCCAGTCTTTATGAGTTCTCAATGGCTCACTGGGAAGACAATTTTGTTTCAAGACTGGCTACAGTGTTGACTTTGTTTCTGATTTTATGACACCCAATCAAAAATTTTTCTGTGCAAACAACATGACATAGACAATGGTAAAGACACATCTTCTGCATCAAAACTGATGTCAACAAAATTAAACATCTCAAAACTTATTATTATATAGTTGTATCATTCAACAGGTAAACAGATGAATTTGCCTAGTACATAATCTAGTAACAACTGAAGTTCCAATTCTGCCTCAATTAAGAGACATCTGGAATTCAACCACAGAGAAATCTATGTTAACCTACAAATTTCTTTTCAGATTTGTACACTGAGCAAAACTATAACTAAATTCCCAATTCATCTCTTGATAAATTTTTATCACGAAAGTTTTCCCACAGGGTTTTGAGGAAGATCAAAACTTGAGAACAATAGTTTATTACATATATCAATGGAATCAACAAGAGATATATGATCCTAACACAGCATGAAATCAGTGCTCAAGAGGCACAAATATGTTTTTCCCTTAGTCTACATTATTTTTAATTATAACAATGCCAACTTACATGGTGTAACTGACAAACGTTTATCACTTTTGGTAATCTACCCGAGATGTGATCATTTCTAATTATACTAACAATGATGTACCTCTGGTGATGAAACATTTCCTTTAACACCTTCTGGTTCTTCACTTTCATCTGTTTGAGGTGGCACATCAACTGGACACATGTCTTCTCACAGATGGTAATAAAAAAAAATTAAGAGATGTGCAGAATAAAACACAGGCAATTTTTAATGAATTTTTTTTCCGTGTGCATTTCATTAAGGAATGCAAGTCACTTACTATGAGAAGGAGAATCTACCAGTCTATCAAAAATCACCGTGGATTTTTCTTGTCTCAACCCCTTAAGGACTTAGCATTTTCATTCAAACTGAAATAGCAGGCAAATTATTTGTAGTATCCCTATAAAAAATGCATTTTCTTAAAGTTTGAGAAGCAATGATTTCAGATATTTAAATCAATTTTATAAATTTGAACATTAAACAGATTGGGAGGTCATTCTTTCATGCTGAGACATTTTACTTATTTCAACACCTTTTCTATTTTACCAGAATGTGATCTGCACATACTGAACTAAAAAATATTGTCTGAGATTTGCATCTTAAAAGTTCAACTTATTTATAGTGCATTTTTCAATCATTTTTAATTTCAAAGTAACACTTTGAGCAAGATTTTAAAGCAGATGCTTTATCTCAAGGAGTACAAAGAAAATCCAAAATCCCAGACATGATTTTCATGATTCAAACACTAAACATTACCATGTACTTTCCTAATTCTGGAAATTATCAGCTCATTAAAGCCAGTTTTTATTTTACAGTGGGTTGGAGACCAGAGATTAACCCATGTATCAACTCAAAATTATTAAGTTTTGCATTAACACAGAGTATGCTAAGTGTACCTTCATCCTTTTCTGGTAACAAGACAGTAGGTAAGGTCAGTGGCAGTTCCAGGCCATGTCGCATAGCTACAACAAGATGCATTGCAATGCAAAACTCATCTAGATTCAAAGCATTGTCCTTGTTGAGGTCTGACAAGTGCCTTAAAAGAGTACACAAGAAAATCATAAATTCAAATAACTGCTTTTACTTGCACTTTTTCAGGAACCCAATTCAAGAACTTTCAAGGACTTTTTAGGTCATATTCAAGGACCTTAGCTCTCAAGTTCAAGGACCTTTTACATTAATTAGGAGCTTATAGAAATAAACATTATATGCAGCATCGGTCAAAAATTCCAACAAGTATGCACATCAGAGTGATCACGTGCTAAGTAACCAAGGTTATTTTCAATGTACCAATCAAGTACAAAATATATAAAAAATCACGTATCAAACATCATAATCGGATGTGGGACTTGAAAAGAAAACTTGTTTTCGTGATTTGTGCCAGAAACTTACACTCTTAATTAACACTGGCAACAAAAGAAAACTTCGACTTTGATTCCTCTGCACTTATATTCAAGGACTTTTCAGAAATTTTCAAGGACCCGAGTCTAAATTCAAGGGTTTTCAAGGCCTTGAAAACAAAAAATTAAATTCAAGGACTTTCAAGGACTTTCAACCACCTCCCGGTTAGCTCAATGGATAGAGCACTGGACTGTTGTGTGGGAGGTTGAGGGTTCGAGCC